TTCCCCTAGATAACAATAATCAGCAAATATACAAATCCGATAGATTTTCACCAAGGGAGACAATTTTAATGCTAGTTTACATGTATTGTTTTACTGTGTGATAAGCACTGTTTCAAGATCTTGGCACAAATTAATTCAATCTATATTCATAAAAACTATGAGGTAGAAGTGATCATCACTGTCTCACAAACAACAAACTGAAGCACAGGATGGTTAGGTAACTTGTCAGAGATCCTACAGCAAATAACTTTTAGAGCGAGGATCTAGACTCTGCAGCATTATGTTGCTGGTGAGGATCTGGGTTAACAAAAATGTTTAATTATTATAGCAGACAGATGTAGCAAAATGATGGGGAAAAAAAAGATTGAAATTAATTTTCATTCTGGTATCCCTCGTCCTAGGAATCATTTGTATTTGTTTGTTGTTTTGAAATGATGTCTAACACAGGAAATCATGGGACACTTTCCATATCCCCTCTCTGCTGTTGGGGCAGATAGATCTAAAGTTAAGTTAGGGAGAGAAGCAAATAGGAATGGAGGGTGAAATAAATTCCATTCAGCATGGTAAACCTAGCTCAATTCTCATGATAAGATTTATCAAAATGATTCTCATCCAGCATGATTAAGGTACAAAAAAATACATAGAAAAAAATTTTTTTAATTTATGACAGTATTTGAATTTGTACACATAAGGAAATATAAGATTGTTGCTCTCTTGTGGAAAGACTCAATTGCTGAACCTTGGCTTGAGTGAGAACACTAGGGAGTGTTCATCAGACAATACCTAACCTTTTCTCTTAAGAAAGCTGGTCTCACTTGAGTCCACCTTAGATGTGGCCAAGAATGGTGGTATACCAGGGCTAATCAGCAGAGACCAGCCCCTGCCACACAGACACCTGTTGAAGGATTTTTAGGAAGACGATGCTGCAACAGCTCTGAGAGAGTAAGATGGCCCTAGATGACTGGCCATTCCAAGAAGCAGAGTATGCCAGAGGCGGACAGCACTTGGCAACCCCAGGGCTCACATTCTGGGGAACCGGAGGACTCATGACCTCATCATTCAGTAGATGACCCTCACCTTCTGCCGAGAAAGTAACACATTCCAGCATCCTGCTCAAAGGATATTTGTTCAAGATGACTAAACCATTCCACAAGACCTGCAATCTTCAAGAAACAGGCCAACTGAATCTCAAGACCATCTTTAAAAACTAGTGCAAGGGTTGAACGAGCACAAGCACAAATCTGGTTGTGCTGCCGCGTAATCTATTACCTGCCCTGGAGGCTATCACCAGTCTTTTATAAGGGATCTCTAATTCTTAAAAATAGCAATAGAGGTATAACAACATGAGTATAAAACAGGCAGAAGAGCAACCCTAGTCCCCCATCTACAGCTGGGCCTTCATATTCACAGATCCTTCTCTACAAATTCAACCAATTGAGGATTGAAAATATATACTTAATTCTAGAAAGTTCCAAAAAGCGATACTGGAATTTGCCACAGGCTGGCAACTATTTGCATAGCTTTTAGGTATTACACATTGTATTAGGTATTGTAAGTAACCTAGAAATGATTTAAGGACTTCCCTGGTGGCTCAGATGGTAAAGCGTCTGCCTACAATGCGGGAGACCCAGATTCAATCCCTGGGTCAGGAAGATCTCCTGGAGAAGAAAATGGCAACCCACTCCAGTACTCTTGCCTGGAAAATCCCATGGATGGAGAAGCCTGGTAGGCTACAGTCCACGGGGTCGCAAGAGTCAGACACGACTGAGAGATGATTTAAAGACTATGAGAGGATGTGCATAGGTTACACACAAATATGAAGCCATTTCATATAAGATACTTGAGCATTCACTGACTCTGGTATCCACGGGGGTCCTGAATCAAGTCTCTGCAGGTTCCCATTGCCACTACACTTGTGTCAAGAGTGGACAATGAATATAATAACTCTGCTAGCCTAAACAAAAGGAAACAAAAACTATTTGGACATGATGCAGCCTGCAATTTTATGCTAGCCTGTATGTGACTGTTAAATGCCTGCTCTTCTCACAAGAAGAGTAAGCAAAGTAGTGACTGCTTTTTAGTTTTTTGTTCATCACTGTGTGTTCATCCTTCCCCATCCCATGGTGCCTGGCACACTATAGGTGCTATCTAGTTTTTTTTTTTGTTTTAACTGGCTGAAGAAACAATTTTTTTTTCCCCTCTGTTTTTTTGGCCATGCAGCATGAGGAATCTTAGTTCCCCGACCAGGGATTGAACCTATGCCCCCTGCAGTGGAAATGTGTCTTAATCACTGGACCATAAGGAAGTCCCAAAGAACAGCTTTATTTATTTATTTATTTATTTTTAAAGATTTGACCTTCCTCTTGTTCCAGGCCTAAACTCAGTTAACTTAGATTCTTGAAACTCTTAAGTGCAGAGGTTCAGCTGACTCCACTTATGGGTTTGAGGTACATGCTTCAGCTTCTACGAGTACCAGGAGTGGGGAAGAGACACTACATGTGGATCCAGTTAAAAACTGATCTCAAAATTTCCCGTAAAACCCTTCTATCAGTTCAGGAAAAGCTAAAGACTTCCTTCGGTCCAGCAGTCACCCTATGGTATCTGCTCAGCCCAATTTTGCATCTTCCTCCAAGATAACATCTCTTCTCCCTAAAACACACTCACTTACCTGAACTGAACCCGATGTGTGCTTTTATCATCTGTGGTAGTCTTAGTTAGAAACCTCCACCCGACTCTGAAGGGGAAGGCTCACAGGGCCTCATGCTCATGGGCTGCATTCTAGACGCTTGGTTTTCAGAGAGAGGCCCAGCCCTGCACAGGGCACTCTTAGGCTGCAGAGGGAAGCTCGTAACATCTCCTTGGGAGCTGGCAAGAATGGGAAGGTGCTGTGTGTCCAGGGGCCAATCTCTGGACACACAGCCTAGCGTAGCACCGCTACAACTAGGCAGGAAACCAATCCTTACTGGAGGTTCCAGCAGGAAAAAGAGGGATAATGGGGTAGATGGGCTAAAGCAGTAGTTTGGGGGACCAGAACTTCCTAGTACACAAGAGTAATGCCAGGTCTCTGGTTCATTCTTTAGAGATTCTTGCAGCCTTTCATTTTGCAATACTGTCATTCTGTAAAGTCAATTGAAGTATGAAGGAACACAATGAGCACCACAGGATTCATTTACCAAAAAAAAACCCCCAAAAAGTCATAGTAAGAAAGCCAGAACAACTTACAGAGAGAGGATAAAAGCTTGAATTTTACATTTTGAAATATACTTGTTGGAAAAGGGTACTTTCCTTATTTTTCATAAGATGATTTTTAAAGTCATGGAAATGTGTAGGACATAAAAATACAACATAACAACGAGAAAAACAACCACATACTGTACCTTAATGTCAGCAAATCATGTGCTATCTGATAAGCTCTGGACCATTCTCTTTTTGTCTCAATGTAAAGTTACTTAAGAGCTGGTTTTCACATGGCTTTGCAGCAATTTTAACTTTTAATGAAACAGCTCTTGTTAAGTTTTTCTTAAAACATTTACTCAACTCCATGCTTGAAAGCTAAGATTCATTTAATGGCTGAAAAGTATGGGATTTTATTCTAAGATCAAACTCAAAGAGAAGAATGATTCCAGTCTCATGGGCATATTGCTGCAGTCAAGTGTGATGCATGAAGAGGCTGACATTCTGTAAGTGGCTTCAAATCTCGGGCATAAAAGGCTAATGGAATATGATACTGCTGTGCTGTACTTAGTACCTCAGTCACGTCTGAGTCTTTGCGACCCCAGTGGACTGCAGCCCACCAGGCTCCTCTATCCATGGCAATTCTCCAGGCAAGAATACTGAAGTGGGTTGCCATGTCCTCCTCCAGGGGATCTTCCCAACCCAGGGATTGAACCCAGGTCTCCCACATTGCAGACGGATTCTTTACCATCTGAGCCACCAGGGAAAACCGAGAACACAGGAGTGGGTAGCCTATCCCTTCTCCAGGGGATCTTCCCCACCCAGGAATCAAACCGGGGTCTCCTGCATTGCAGGCGGATTTTTTTACCAGCTGAGCTATCAGAGAAGCCCGATGGAATATGATGTAATCAGACAAAATGGCTGAACTTCATTGCTGATTTTTTATCAATGCCAATAAAATTTGCAATCATACAACAAAATCATAAAGACAGAAAAGAGCAGTCTCTATTTTACATAAAATTTAGGTGATATTCAAGAAATAAAATGCCAAATGGCAACTGTGATAGATCAATGGCAGAACTTTTGAGAGACACACCCCAGGTTGAGAGTCTTTACAGACCAGTAACTCTGTTCATAATCCTCAAATGTGACCAAGTGGGAGAAGCATGGGTCACCCTCACAAGAGGAAGACAAGGTGGGTGAGTCTGACTACCTCCTCAGTGAAGTAGCTAGTTAGCAGCATCTTCATAAATGACAAATTTGTGTGTCCTTACCTTTAATTATTTAGTAGTATTCATTTTCATCTCTGAAAGAAAGGCTATCTTAACAGTAGTTTGGAATTCCAGACTCTTTTACCCACACTAAGTGGGAGATAATGCAATGATGAAATAATGATACATATTTCATTGAGATAGAAAATACAGAAATGCACACACATATTTCATTTTCTTGAGAGGGAGGGTGCTTATGGAATTCTGAGAGCATCCAATTTGTATTCATAGCTTCATGTAAGTAAAATTAACATTTAAATAGACTACAATCTCTTAAACTCAGAGTACAGTGAGATAAGTATGAAATTTAAAAATTTACCCTGGAACTTAAAATCTTCTAAGACTCCACGAAATAAAAACCCGCACAATGACAAATTAAGAGTTAGCTCACTTTCTTAAAAGGTGGCTTCTTGCTCACCTAGTTGATAGTAACAAACACAGAGAATCCCTTTAGCAATAAAAGGAAGTCTTTTCCATGCCCCAGGCAAAGCTTTCCAGCCAAGGGTCTGTTTCTTTCAAATTCTAGGTTGACTACTACAGAACTGAAAGCCTTACCTGGAACTTCAGGAGAGAACCTTGCTGAGTGTCGGGATACAAAAAGTTTCAGTTCTTGATCCAGATTGCATTCAATCAGGTTTGTGTCCCATGATCGGATTCCTAAGAAAGGAAAGGAAGACAGATGACAGACCACCAGTTAGTCATTTCGCTGTGGTTTGGAAAACATCACTGTAGCATTTCTCAGGCTTTAAGGAAGGGAGTGGAGACTCTTTTGCTGAAGAGCTTGGTGACCAGCAGTGGATACCCACAAAATGGGAGGGCGGGGGAGCTCTCTCCACCAGGCCACAGGGGAAGGATAACTAGCAGTGCGGACTGAACTTCTGCCCCTCATAACATGTAAATGCAGCTCTTCTGGAAGAGTAAAAGAAAACAGCTATTAGGAAAATGACAGGCTTTACTCCTGAGAGGGAGCAGAAAGGACAGGAAGACGGTGAGCTCCGTAGCAGTTAGGGGGCTACTAGACAATTGCTGGCTTTCCCATGGTCCACTTGTACATGGCTAGAAAATGGAGAATAAGGGTGGGAAGTAAATATGGGGGGTGGCAGTCAAGTCCACATGCCTGTTTTTAAAGGTTTCCGCAGTCTGCATGTGCATTTTGTATGCCTATCTGGTTACTCTTCTTTACTCCTCCCATTTTTGACCTTGATTTCTCAACCCCTGGATACCAGTCGAAATGTGTGCTATCTTTGCTAAGAAGGCGGATCTGGCCTATCTGTCCTCCTAGGCATTTAGCTAACTAGCTTGGCAGACAGCTCTTTCATTCACAATTGTTAGTTGTCTGCGTTTTCTTATCCAGAGGCAAAGAGATGTGGCAATTTTTTATACTTTATAAACTTCTACAGAGTTGGGGGCCGTGAACTGTCTATTCTCATAAAAGTTCACAAGGCTGGAAGCTGGGGTGAGGGGAACATGCGGTAAGGAGTGCTAATGCCCTACCTCCCTCCTCTCTCCTGACCTTCCAAAAGAGGTGGCTAGAGGGGAACCCAGAGAACAGCAGAGAAGGGAGGGCCAGGCAAAATTGAGGAATCACAGAACTCTGGAGTGTATTTTTGTATCTTCCTAAATAGATGGCTCATGGGAGAATCATTAGGTAGGCAGTATCCTTGACTCTACCCCTGCATGGAGCATCCTCAACCTCCAGAAACAAACTTCTGGAAGGGCAATCATTTACTCTCTATCTACCAAAGGCAGGGACTTGAACATGTAGGTGTATCACACAGGTGAACTGTCTCTAAATAAACACTTGATCTTTAATCATTTTTGCTGGTCATTTAGTCATGCATCCAGACTTGGGAGTATAAATGGCAGTATGTTACTTAAACATAACTCTTAAGTCCTTAAAGTATATCTGCATTTACCCCTATTTAAATCTTGTTCAGTTTTCCTATTCTGCACAGAATCACTGTAAATACACAAACTACAGAGATTCTGTAAACTGAGTTGACTATACATCTAAAATATCTTCAGATGATACACCAAACACCTTTCCGAATTATGAGAAATATTTTCAAATAGATGTCCATCCACTAAATAGAGGTAGATATTTCTCATACAATCCATGGGAAGGATTCAGGTGTGCAAGAGTTAACATTCCTAAAGAGAGGCTAAATTATAAGGGAGAATTTTATGGGTCTCCCTGGAAACATTAACAGCCTCAGTTTGAATTTGTGCTAATGGAACACTTAAAATTTTAACAAGAAAGGCATGTTGTGATTTTGTGAATCTTTTTCATGCAGAATTGATAAAGAGGTTTCCTTTTTGTTCCACAGAAAGCTTGACAGGTGAAGAGGTCTGAATTCATTAAAATATTTGACTTCCACATATATATTCTATATATTCAGCTAGCATGGAAACTCATCAAGCCCCTGTCTGAACTGCTTAATTGGAAATTGTTGACTGGATTATCTATGCTCCAGGTCTGAGCTCCACTTTGTCTTCTGGCTTGCCAAGTAGGGTCAACAAGTTAATAATGAGACATATGTATTTTAATTAAATTCACACAATTTCTCTGCCTTTGTTCTAAGTAATGTCTAAATTGCTACATTATTTGAATGGCTTCATCCAGGGCTATACATAGACTGGTTCTAGATTGCTGTTTCCCATTTCTCCCTCGGCTTCAATTAACTTGTCATGACACAGGCAATTAAATGTTTGCTTTCTCTTTCATAAACCTCTGCTTCTATGATTTGTAACTTAAAAGAGGAAAAAGTATGAAACAGTAGAAAAATCATTTAGTAATTTTTAAGTTCCATTAGCAAACAACTGATAAAATGATTATTTCTTTTTTATAAGCCCAGTGAAATTAAAAATTCAGGTTCTCTTTTTCAAGGGAGCAATTTCCAGCCAAATTACATCTTAAGAATGCATAATCACTGCTGCTACTTATAAAATAAAGGTTACAATGGATTTACCGGTTGTTTTAGTTGAAAAGGAAAATTTTGGAACCAGGCCACTTTCTATACCAATTTTAGAAAGAAAATACTGTGTAATTACTTTGTACCTTCTACTGGATAATGTTAGTAAAGGGAAACAGTACCTCTCAATGAAAACTCTTAGAGCATTCAGTTGGTTTATGTATCTCCCCTTTGTGCCTAAGAAGCAGCCAGCAGTGGACCCTCTAAAGCTCATAGGACCAAAAAAAGTCTTATTTGGCTCTTCGTACATTGTCCCCTCCCTGAGTTCATGATTGGAGGGGACAGTGGGGTGCTGGAGGCTTTCAGAAGGAGGTCATCCTGGGCTCTAGTGGGGAGTAGAAAAGCCATGGAATTTTCTGGCCCTTCCCCCAAACCATGCCAGGTCAAGTTCCTCCCTGGGCCTTTGCTTCTCCAGCAAATCTCTGTCATGACTGTGCCCTTACTGGCTTTCTCAGATGGGGGCAAAATAAATCCCCCAGTTGGAGGAAATCAACCTGCACTCCCCTCTTTTCCCAGCCATCCCCCACATGAGGGAATCTTAGTTCCCCCACCAGGGATCGAACCTGTCACCCCCTGCATTGGAAGCATGGAGTCTTAACCACTGGACCACTAGGAAGTCCTCACCTCCACTTTTTAAACTGGGCCCAGAGAGCATCTGCCACCCCTGGGCAGGTGGCCTATGGCAAAGCACCCTGAGAACTCCCTGCCTGACCCGGGGCTGGCTTCCAGCCCTGGAAGCTGGTACCAACTCTCTCTAGCCCGATGACCAGCGGGGAACAAAGGACCTTTCCATCTCAGTTCTGATTCCAGGGGGAGCAGTGCACTAAGGGAGGGCTAAGTGCACATAAAGTTGACAGATTAAAAAAAAGAGGGAAAAAAAGGTGTGTGTGGCAGAAGCGTAGGAGGCAGGAATCCTAGGACAAGTCAGGGTGAACCATAAAGAAGAGCCACATGCTCTTACTTGATACAGGTTAGACTTCACCTTTATTGATGATGCAAGCATTTTGTAGGCTTATTTAATAAGAGCAACAATTATTTTTTAAAGCCTCTCATTTAAAGGCTAAAATCTATATCCTGAAAGAAACAACAGATAGAAAGCATAAGGAAACGACCATGCATTGCGTGCTGAAATGGTACCTGCGTTCCATCTGCTACTGGGACTTATGACAAGTTGATTTTTTTCCATGAGCTTTAGTTGCTCCCTCTCAGGAATAGACTTTTGAACATTTTTTGCCCAGTGTCCTAAACTATTTAACTACAACCCTAAAATTCTATTTGCAAAACTATATTAAATAGTGATCTGAAGTCAGATTAGACTCATAAAGAAATAATTAAAACAAAGGAAATGCTAAATTCAATAAGGTTTTCTTTTTTATAGAAAAGTTTTCCTATTTTTTTTTCCCCCTTGACCTAACCTTCAATTTGCTTTTTTCCTTTTGTTTTAAGCCAACAAGTTGATGTTTATAATTTATGTGTTCTGTGTAATGCAGGCAAGGGAGGCCCATCTTACACAGAGTTCATCATTTCAAAGCATTGATGATAAATAACTTAGGTCTTGGCTGGCATCTTACATTAGAAACAAGCAAAAGAAGTGATTTATAATAAGTTATTTATTGGCGGTAAAAGTTGAAACTTATTTAAAAGGTAAACCTTTACAGAAGATTAACAATGACTCATCAATTTAACGACCTTAAGTTTGGGGACTGGCTTATATTTGGATCATAGAACTCTTTTAGTAGATAATACCAATTAAGCAGCGCAAGCAGAAATCCATCTGCCTTCTGATTTTGAAAAGTATAAAAATGGATGGATATAATAAATGTATCATTCCACAACATTTCTTTTCATTCCCACCACCCCTTTGTTTTCCTGTTAAAACAAAATGGAAACAAAGCCCTAACTCTTTCCTGGGTTCTTAATTCTCTTAACCAATTTACACTGAAAACATTCAATAAATGACAATGTAATTAGCAAAACTTACATCTAAAAATCCAGGGCAGTAGATGTTACACACATCTATCTTTCCGATGAACAAATCCTGCTGATTCCCAATGTTAACCAGAGGAAAATTACACTCTTAACAGCAATTGAAATCAAACTGACACTTAGTGTTTTTTACATGTTTTAGTTTAAAAAAAAAAATAAAATGAAGCAATGAAAACTTCACAAGACTCTAGAATTAGTTTTGCAAGACATGAGTGTATGTAGTCTATGTCCCAAAATAAATTGGAGGAGGGGAGACTCTGCTAAAAATTGGGCTGACTGTTCAGTCTATGTTGGAGACTAATTAGGAAGGGGGCAAAAGAGGTGCCAAGGAGTAGCTGGTGGAGTGACAGTGGTTTGGCATGGAGTCCTGCATAACTAACTAACTAAAGCTAGACCAGTCTGAGCAAAGACTGTTGTTTCAAACTTAAGAAATGACCAGACCCTACATTATGCATTTTGAATGCAGCTGAAGAAAGGAATGATGTCTTCTGTCCTTGTGTAACCACACAGGACCCTACGGGACCTTCCTGGGACAGACCCCTCCCCTATATCCTTGGCTTTAAGTCCTCTCTGAAATACCTAAATATTAGTATCTGAAGCGTATTTCCTGAGTTACTTTTCAGACTCTAAAATCACCATCAAATGGCAGAAATGAACTACTTGATGACCATTAGCACACAGTCCTCACTAACATAGGCTTGTGCAGTCGCTCAGTCATGCCCAACTCTGCAACCCCATGGACTGTATCCACCAGGCTCCTCTGTCCATGGGCATTTTCCAGGCCAGAACACTGGAGTGTGTTGTCATGCCCTCCTCCAAGGGATCTTCTCAACTCAGGGATCGAACCCAGCTCTGCTGCATCGCAGGCGGAGTCTTTCATCTGAGCCAGCAAGGAAGCCCAACGTAGTCTTGTCACCTCATCATCAACCTAATTCTCAATCAAAGAATGGTGCATGAGCTGATCACACACTCTGGGACACCCTCCCTCACACTGCCTTTAAAAATGCTTTGCTGAAAACCCTTGGGGGATTTCGGGGGTTTTGAGCATGAGTTCTCCTTATATCAGCATCTTACAATAAAGCTGCACTTTCCTTCACCACAACCTGGGGTCAGTAGATTGGCTTTACTGCGTGCAGGTGAGCTGCCTCGAGTTTGATTCAGTAGGTTTCAAGAAGCATGTACTCAGCCTCCATGGTGGGCTGATTCAGGCCTACTGATGTACTTGCATTTCCGCCATCTTCCTACAGATTTGTTTTCTGGGTTTCCCATAGAGCCTTAAATCATCAAATGGCAAAAATTCAAGTTGCCAGGGTCTCTAGACTCGCAGAGCCTCATCAGGATGAGAGGGGAGACAAGCAAGAGGGGCAAAAGATGAACCACTTTCCCTGCGGAAAGGCTGCGGCACACAACCAGGGCCAAACCCCCGGAGCATCTCCATCTTGCTTCAGACAACCGGTCCCATGGGCGCCCGCCACCGCAGCCATGGTATCAGAGTGACCTCTGGAGGAGGAGGCCCTGCTGGAACCTGAGAGCTCAGGAAGCATCACATCAGGCCCAGGGCAACAGCCAGCCAGCCCTGTTGCTAAGTCATCTCTGACTGTCAGAAAAGCTACCGGAGCAGTATTTCCACTTAGCACTGGAAGGCCCTGTGGTTTGAGCTGCATCCAAGACCCCAGGACCCAAGAGAGCGATCTCCAGAGGAAAAGCAGCATCTGTTACTGTGCCTTAGGAAATGGCTTTGCTCACTCACTCGGTTGATTCTTAATGGGATCAATACTGCTATTTCAGAGTTCCCTGCAAAAAGCTGACTAAATCAGGGCACTAAAAAATCAGGAAGGCATGCTGACTGAAAAGGAGATCTGAGGGGGCTTCTGGGGGTCCCAGGAATGTCCGTTTCTTGATCAGGATCACACAGGTATGTCTTTTTGTGAAAATTCACCAAGCACCTCGTTTATGATTTGTGCCTTTCCCTCACTACATAACACATCAATAAATTTAAAAAAAGAAGAGGCAGGAAGACAAAATTGAACTTGATCACTAAGTTCCAGTAGCATGAAAAATAGTCGAGACCACGTCACAGTGACCGATAACTTGGATGAATCTAGTTTATCCTCGAACAGAAGCAGCTTGAATAAACCCACTGAGAAATAAGGCACTAAAAGGGTGATCAGCAGAGTAACAAAGCAGGAAGATAATTACATGGAAGGTGATTGCTGAGCCACCTCCCTGCATGGGGTGCTGCCCACAAGTGGATGACTTCTACCTTTGTATAAAGGCAAGCTCTAGAAATTGCTCTTTGATCTCCCGGTGATGTTAGCCCGGCCCGCAGCCAACATCATGACAGGGCCTGAAAACCACTGATCTCCCTGTGATGTTAGCCTGTCCTGCACTAACATCATAACAGGGCCAGAAAACCAGTGATGCTGCAGTGCCAGCATTCTGTCACTTATGAGTGGTGTGACCTTGAGCTGGTCTCCCTATCCTTCCTGCCTCTCTGGGCCCCCATCTCCAAACTGGGGATAAGGGTCCCTCTCCTCACACCACATAGGGTGGTTATGCACCTTTTATACATAGAAACACACCTCCTGCTTTATTACTTCCCAGCCAAGGTGCTGACAAATAGTATTTTTTTAAAAATCCAAAGTCATAGATTCATACAGCAGCCACACCCAGAGTCAGTACGTGTGAATTTCCCAAGGAGAAAATGTGCAAATAAACTAAATTAGTATAGATCAAATTAAAAGGACTGTAGTTTGAAAAATGAAGGGTAATTAGATGCTCAAATGAGGCATTTCTCTATTGACCTAGCCTATTCTTCAATTTTTTTTTTCCGAATAAAATAACAAGTCTGCGTTCTGCTCACATTTCTTTCTTTCTTTTTTTAAGCAAAAAGTAACACCAGTGCTTTAAAGTTAAACAAAAGAACCAGGTCTGCCACTCGAGTCTCCACCCTGCAGCCTTTTGTTCTGGCACAGGCGACCGTTTCCAAATGCAGAGGCAGACCTCTAGAGTTTAATTTTTTTTTTTTTTTCCCCCATCTAAAACAAGGTTTTTCTCACGTCTTTCACGGGGAGTGGGGGGCGGGCGCGGGGAACGAGGGCTGCGTGAACGCCCTTTGTCCGCCTCGGGCTGCCGTAGAGACCGCAGTGCGGGCTGCACCACGCCCACCAGCCGGTGTCTCGGGGCAGACGCGCTTCAGCACCACCCCGAGGGAATAGAGCGCGGGCTGGCGTGCGGAGGGACTGGCGACCTCGGTGTGGGAGAAGGGGAGGTCTGCGATGCCGGGGGGGAAAGGGAAGGGCAGCGGACAGAGCTGCCCACCCGCGGACTTCGCGCGCAACAAAGCCGGGTTGAGGCAGACGTGGGGACACGCAGCACCCCCAAGCCCCGGCGGAACGCACGCCCGGCCGGCCGCGCCCAGTGGGGGCGCCGCAGTGCGGGGGGCAGGTGCAGCGGGCGGGGGCACTGCGGCAGCCCGGGTGGGGCTGCGGGGCGGGTCAGTCCGCGCGCCCGAGGCTGCGCCCGCTGGACCCTTACGGCCCCGCCCAGGGTTTCCGAATAGCGAACCGCTATTCGGCCTCTGCAGAGCGCGCTCCTAGTGCCCGCACCGGACCAGGCGCCGGCCCTACCCACCACCCCACCCCCAAGCCATCACTCCCGAGGCAAAGACTTTTAAAAGAAGAAGCCCCACCCCGCAACTTGGGGGTCCCATTGTCCTTGCAGAAAGCTGCAACCGAGGCCCCAGGGGCAGTAGAGAGGCAGGCGCCGTCTGGGAAGGAGGCGCAGGCGGTTCTCCATCTCTGCGTCCCGGGGGGGTGGGGGGAGCGGGCGTGGCTCTAAGACTAGCCTAGTCATTCCGAGGGAAGAAAAGATGGAGAGGTTTTAAGCCAGCAAAGGGATTTCTCGGAGCTGAGGTGGTTGTGGCTAGAGGGATTCCCACGCGCACCCTGGCACATGGTACTTCAGCCTCGGGTCTGCTGACGAGGGGCAATCCTAGCATTTTGCTGAGGGGTCGGGGGAGATGAAAGAAGTAATTGCAACGTTCCCCCTCCCCCCCCACACACACACACCTTGGTGTCCTGCGGTTGCGGCTTTATTGCAGCCTCTGCCCCCTTTGACACCTGCATCTCATTTAGCGGGTGAGGCGGTAGCCCTCTGGAATCTGTAGACCCAGCCTAGTGACGGATCCCTCAAGGTTAGGAGACTCTCCCACTGGGTCCCAAATCTAATAATTTGCATTATTCTCCGAAATGAACCCGGGTGGGGGGTGGGGGGGGGGAGAGGAGAAGGAATCTGGACAGCGTGCTGGAAGTGGCGGGGAAAGGCGTGGGTGCGGGGCGTGCCGGAGAAGAAAGGTGGCCGTCGTGCCCTGGGTGGGGTCGCGTTTGCGCGTCTCCCCGAACGCGTCCCCTGGGGGCGCAGGGCCTCTTACCAAGCTCGATGTTGCCGATGGCGCGTCGCAGGTGCTCCTCGGTCACAATCTCGCCGACGACCACCAGCAGGTAGAATTTGCTGTCGAGGAAGCGATGCGACAGGCTGGGCGAGGTGGTCGCCGCTGGGTTGGCAATGCTGCCGGACGGCTCAGGCTCGGCGGCTTCCACCACCACGGTCGCCATCCTGCCGGCCCGTTAAGCCTCGGCGAAGTGCCCGGCTCCGGCCGCTCCTCTCGTCTGCGGCAGGAGAAAGGATTATCTCCGAAGGTGCTGTCTCCGCTCCGCCCCCTGCGTCTCCCCTCCTCCTGGCGCTGCGCGCCGCCTCCCCCTCCGCCCTCTCGGAGAGCGCGCGGCGGAGAGGAGCCGGGAGTGAGAGAGGGCGGGGAGGCGGCGCCTCTTTTATATGGAGACTAGGCAGGGCGCCGGGGAGGAGGAGGAAGAGGAGGAGGGAAGGACCACCCGGCACATCCTCGCGGGGTGGCTGCCTCCGCTCTTCCAACCGTTGGCCCAGGGCTGATGTCATCTGCAGCAAATCATCTCGCCCGCGGCCCGGAAGCTGGAGGGACGAGGTGTGCGGACAATGGTCAGGGCAGGGCCGCGAGTCAAGCTGGAGGACTCGACTAGGGTAAAACACTGCCAACCTGCACCCCCACCCACAGCCACTGCCCGCTCCCAACCCTCACCCGGCTCGTGCAGGAGAAGTGGGTGGCTTTCCATTTTCAGGGTCGGGATATTTACCTTGTCCTAGGTGGTCAGGCCAGGCCTCTGCCTCGGGTGCCGTCTGCGATGAAGCCAGGTCCTCAGGATCTGTGTTAGCGCAGCGGACGTGGGGCTGAGGGTACCCCGCCCAGGAAGATGGAACCTGTCTTTTCTTTGATGTTGTGGATTTCGGAAGACATATTGACCAGTATTCACCACCTATACATGAAGAATACATTAAAATGCAAAACCTCAGCTTACCATTGTTCAGGCTTTGGAACTTATTCTGCAAGACCCACTGATGAAAAAGTACTGGCTTTGTAGTGCTCATGGGAAATGAGAATACAGATGCATTATTCCAGATACAAATTTCTGGTCTTAATAATATACTGAACAGACAGTATCAGACATAACAATAAAGAGAAGATACTGTCTCTATACAGCAGGATTATAGTGACTATAGTGTACTTTTCGGTTCCTTGGGGAACACACAAGCAAAATTATTTCATGTAACAGTGATGTCTTTTAAAATACATATAGCATTGGGGGTTTTTATTGCCTTTTATGTTTAGAAGAACTCATAAAAACTTTTAAAGGCAGCCCATCTACAACCATTTCTTGCAAACATATTGAATATAATGAATATAACTTATGTCCCAGGAAGGGAGTGGTGGTGGTGAAGAAGGAACAAAATGGTCAAACATGGTACTATCATAAAAGACTGGAGAACTGGAGACTTAGGAAAGAGGAATGAATGGAAACTAGAGCAGCCAATATAGTTTTAATACTAGATTGCATATAAAGAAAAGAAAAGAAAATCACTGAGGAGAAAATCACTTAGTATCAGGAGATACTAAGATTTCCAAAAAGCCTATTGTCTTAGCTGTTAACCACCCCGACTTATTGGTAATGTACTCTTTGCTCTTATCTCCTTCCTGAAGCCCTGACATGGTTTTGGCCTCATCGTATATGCCAGACTGATCAGTGGGGACTAAGGTTACTGGTGAGCTGCTTTCACTAGTCAGTGATCAGTGACATGAGTTTTCAAGTAAGAAGGTAACAGAGAAAGCATTCAATTTCTGTTAGAGAGGTGAGGCCAACACCAAGGCCATAATAGGGGGAGGAGATGTAGTAAGGAGCACTGTTTTCCAATTTCAGACATTGAAATCAGTGTCAGCGAGTGATGGCATTCCATTTCTCTGAACCATCTTTATTTTTATTTATGTAACAGTTTTCATTAGCTCCATTTCTTTTCTTAAATTTATTTTAAATGAAATTACTGCTCTATAGGTGGAAACACTAATTACTATAAATAGAAGGTATCCCTAAAATAAACATAATGAAAATAAGTACCATGACAAAAATTCCTGCAATACACTATTTTTATTTGCTCAAGACTCAGACCCTGACCTATACCCTAAGTTAAAAACAGAAAGTGTTAGAAAGGTATTGAAGACATACTAGCACCTGAGTTGTTCTCCACTGTCATAACAGAAGGTTGGATGAGAACATCAGAAGAGTTTTCCTACTGTGTGAATTAGTGCAATTAAATACTATGACAATGAACCACTTAAGTCATTACCCACACTTTGAAAAAGAGACGCAATGGAAGAACCACAGAGATGCTGGCTGCTACTGTCCAATTTTGTAACTTTGGGTAAGTGACTTATCCTTAGCTTCAGTCTCTTCATCTATATACTGAGTAGAAGAATGCATTTTCAACAGTGTGAGTACCTCTGTAAAAGAAGAGTAAATGATAAGAATGTAAATGCCTAATACAGTGATTGGAAGATAGTAAGCACTCAAGACATGATTGATGACCTGTTTTGACCAAGTTTCTTGGATAATGGAGTGAAAGCATCTTACAAAATGTGTAAGTGACATCAAAGGCACAAGTACCAACATCTCTGAAATAAGAACTGAATACTGACACTACAAACTAGAAAAGTAGTTGCTCCCATACCCATCTCAAGGAAAAAAAGGTAACAGTTCTAAGGAGGAAGGGGAAAACTAACATATAAGAGTGCTGGTGTTACCTGCTGCCACTTGACATTACCTGGGTGTGCCAAAGGCCTCTCAGCCTCAACATGCTCCAAACCCAAATTATCTTTGACCTCCAAACCTGATCCCCTATCACTTTACCTATTTCATCAAACATTATCACCACCTATCCTACAGCCAAACCAGAAACCTCACAGGCATCTCGGACTCCTCGCAGACTTTAGCCCCATATACAATTTAGCATGGAATCTGGTCAATTTTACCTCCTAAAAACCCTGATGCTGGGAGGGATTGGGGGCAGGAGGAGGAGGGGACAACAGAGGATGAGATGGCTGGATGGCGTCACCGACTCGATGGGCATGAGTTTGAGTAAACTCCGGGAGTTGGTGATGGACAGGGAGGCCTGGCGTGCTGCAATTCATGGGGTCGCAAAGAGTCAGACACGACTGAGCAACTGAACTAAAGTATCTCTTCAATCCTTCTACTTCTTTCAACTATCCCCGACCTAGTCCAAGCTACCATCTTCATGAGAGATAGTAGTGTATAGGTTCAAAATTGGGTTCTGTCATCACACTGCCTGCTTTCAAGTCCCAGCACGAAAATTTGTTAGCTATATGACCTTGGGCAAGATGCTTAATCCCTCTGTGCCTTAATTTCATCACTCGCATAATAGAGATGAGTGCCCACCTCACAGACAGGGGAACAGTTTAAATATGTAAAGTACTTAAAATAGTACCGTGCATATAATAAGCACTCAATAAGGGTTAGTTGTTCCTTCTATTACTGTTTAACGTGTTACTATGGAAAATTTCAAACACGTATAAAAGCAGAGAGAATAGTATAAGAAACCTCTATGTACCCATTATTCTAATCAGATGATTTTTACAGTTTGTTTAAATCAAGATCCAAATGAGATCTATATATTTTGATTGACTGAATATGTCTTAAATCTCTTAATCTATGTGTTCCTATTCTTTTTTTCCTTTAAAACTTCTTGTTGAATTATAGGAACATTTGTTCTGCAGAATTTCACAGTCTGATTTTTGCTGATTGACTGTCTGCTGCATTTAACATGATCTTCCATCTTCTGAATTATCTATATACTGATAGTTGAATGTAAATGCTTCATCAGTTTCAGGGTTGTTTTTTTTTTGCAATCATACCTCTTGGGTAATACTGTGTTCTTCCATCAGGAAGTACACAAAGACTGGCTGACCTTGTCCTGAGATGTTGACAACCATTGATGATCATTACCTAGATCCTTAATTTCATTAAATCATAAAATAATATTCTAATTTTATTATCCTTTCTTCATTTGACAGCTGGAAGACTTCTGTTAGGAGAAATATCACCCTGTCACTTGGTTAGCCTGAGGTACACTTATGGAGGAAGGGAAGGATAAACGCATGATTCTTTCTCTTTATTTACTAATTTTGAAAATAACTAATTCATCCATAACATCCTCCAATGGTGATTAATAACTTTTTGTATCATAAAGAATATAACTTGAAGTTATATTCATATTGATATTTTGATTCATATTGATATTATTCATGTTGATATTTTAATTTTTCCATCATTGGGCAGTGATATGATGAGATATTCCCAGCTCACCTTGAATATACCTGGCCTCAGAACATAGAGTTAGCCATTTCTCTAATGAGGAACTAGGGTTCCTCAAGAGGGAAATGGTACCTAGAGACCATAGTCCTAATACTAGGAGTTGCTTGTTGCTACTACCTCAGTCATTGCTTCTAGATATTTTCAGTGAACAGAAATAGAAAATAAAATTTTTTTCAAGATCAAATATAAGTTCATACCAATATTGCCAATTCAGGAAGGACTAGAGATTTTGCTTAACCTCAATTTTAATCTGTATTTCTTTTGTCTTACACCAAGAATTTCAGTTCTCAAAGACACCAAAGGTGATAGAATTAGACAAGCAGATAATTTCTCACTTCTTTATCTGAAAATACATGCCAATTATACTCACAGTAATGCTGGGTCAAAATGGAACATTTTTTCCAACAATGATTACTAAAAGCAGTTTAAATGTTTTGCAATTACTTTTGTTCTTAGAATGTATCACACTAGAGAACCAAAATTTCCAGTTTCCAGAAACACCAAAAAGTTTTTGTTGTTGTTGTTTTATTTTATAATCTGTAAATCTCACTTTCAGAATAACAATAAAAATTCTCCTAATATCAATGGGATTACTGAAAGCAATTTAGGTTTCTTTTTTTTTTTTTTGCAATTTTCTTGTTATTAGATATATGCCACAGGGATACAGTTTTAAAGTCACTTGAATTAATTCCTTTTAATATATTATGCCACTAAATACATAAATAAGTTCCATTGTTACATTTTGTTTTCAGCTTTTATGAACTGATTTAAAATTTTTTCTCTTATTATACAAGAGATGGACCATGTTTTCACATGTTTAAGGGTCTTCTGCATTTCATTGTCTATGAACTGTCTCCTTA